CGTGGGGCTGCAGGAGGACTGAACCCCACTCTGGTCTTGTACAGTTTCTCTCTCCTCACACATTGACTGGTTGATCTGGCTTCGCTCTGTCATCGATCTTTCCCTGTCTCCCTTTCTCCTCCACAGCTCCAATTCTGAGGCCACCCCTGCCGCAGCCTGGAGGGGGCGCTGCTTCCAACTCCAACACCTTCCCAATGCAGAGGGGTCCTCGTATGCCCAGACCCCCAGTCTCTGACGGGTATGGCACCCCAATGTAATGACGGCACCACATGGGCACTCTAGTACTGAGACAGTAATCATAACAGCATCTGCACACCCTGCACACACTCAGTTAAATCAGAAACCCGTGCGTCTGCAGGACACTGAGGTCTAAGGGCTGAGACTGAGAAGTTGTGCTTGTTCACGCAGCACTGATGTACCATAGCCCCACACCCCCCTGCTGTCCTGGACTAACTGCCCCCAGCCCTGCCCCTGCTGAGGCCCTGTCCAGTTAGTCTCTCCGGCCACCTGTTTCGAAACACTTCTCGGCGGCCAGCTACGACACTTACTCAGGCTCAACTAAAAAACCTCCAGTCCTTGCGGGCTGAAGGGACCGCAGATCACTACATTTCAGCACTTTATCAGTCTCTGCATGCAGTACGTGTCCCAGGTCTTCAGAAACTGGTGATGTAATGGTGATCCCTATAAACTGCTGGCCTGGAGCCTTGTCGTGACGCAGACAGGAAGAGGAAGAGTGAGACCATCATCACTCGTGGTAACGCTACTGCAAAGCAAGTTTCTTTCGAAACGCAGGTCCAGTCCCTGCTTCCCCTCTCCTATGGGGCCTGTAAATCTCTCGCTGGACTGCCTTTGGAGCAGTAAAGTGGCTTTTTGGTTCCAGTTCTGACTGCAGTCTCAGCAGAAAGTGCTAGCTGACCGGGAAACACAGCGCAGCACCGCTCCATTCCACAAGGGGGCGTCAGAAAGCCCTCTGAACCCGTCGCTGTGCAGGGGTGCAGATGTAATAGCACTGGCATGCCTGGTGTGCGCATGAGCCCAGCCTCTGGGATGTAAAACACGTTTGTTCTGCTTTCTAGGCCTGAGAACTGCTTGGCTCAGCAAAACAAGATGAGCATGGGAAATCCCACACTGCTCTCCTGCAGGTGGGACCCTGTTTCACTTCCTCGGCACTGAGTCAGCACCATTCCGAAAACAGTTTTTGTCTTCTGCTCTTATAAGTTGTCTTAATTTTCACAGATCGCTGAGCAACTGGGTCTCATTTCCACTCCTGCAGCATAATA